TCTGCAGCAGAGGCAGGCAAGAGCAAACACCTGAAACCCATTCCCTGTAACTGCTGCCCTCCCTGGCAGGCACTGCTCCATGGCAGGAGATCTGCACCTTCAGCCTCCACAGAAATATGACCAGACTCACACAGGACAAGGCAGGCAAGGTGTTCCTCCACATCTAAGTGCTCCCTGCACACGCTAGTCCCTGCTAGTTATCCTGTCCTTGCAAGGTTTCCCACAGGGCCCCTGCCACCCTCCGTCCCACAGCCCTGGCAATCCTGCTCTCACTCCCTGCTCAGGTCTTCTCCATCTCACAGCTGCTCAGAAAAAAAAACCCCAAAACTTCTGGAAACGGTGAGAAGTAGAGGTAAATGAAGAGCAGACATCTGGGAAGAAAAAACACACTGCAGCAGAGGAGAGGTTCAGCAAAGTCAAGCAAAAACTCAGCCCTGGAGTGCTCAGCTCTGCACCACCTAGGAGAAAGCTCTGGGTGGGCAGTTTGCACTATCAGGCCCAAACATCTCCTGCTCAGCCCACAAACACCCATCCTGCTGCTCTCCCTCCCACCACCTCCTTCAATCACACTTTCCATTGATTAATTTGATTAATGTGCATTTGTACCCAATTAGGCTCATCAACACACCTCCGACCCCTACAGCCAGCCCAGGCTGAGCTGAATCCAATTTAAGAGGAGCCTTTCTCCAGGCAGCAGGTCTGCTGTGAAGCTGTTACCATGCAGTGTTGATGCAGTGGAGAAGCCAAGTGATTTCCCTGCATGCACTGACATGCAATAGCAACCAATCCTAGCAGTGACAGATGAGGCTGGAGAACTGCACTCTAGTGGGAAAACCAGAGCCAGGGGAGCCACTGACACTAAACCTTCTTGCCAGAGTCAAGTACAACGGCCCAGCCCACTGCAGCGCATCTTCAGATATGAGTTTTAAAAGAATCTCATAAAAATAATTTGTAGTTCTCTTTTGAGCATGTGTCCCCTCCAACCCTCTTTACAAACGATGCCCCCAGCCATGCCAAAGCAAGCAAACCAACTGCTGTGCAGAAGATAAATTAACAGACAGCACAGTCACGACAGTGACACAGCCGGCTGATAAAAACATAGCTCCCCCCAACACAGGGCACTGAGGGACCTCACACACCCCCATCACCTCATTTCCAAGCACACACCCTTTCCCATTGCCTGGTTACCAAAAGTGTTCAGCAGTTAGGACCAACAGCAGCCCGGGGTACCCCGACTCCCCCACCCCCTGAGAGCATCAGGTAACAACACACAAGGAACCCATGTGCTGCTGCACCGCGGTAAGGCAGCAAGCAGGGCAAAACCCAACCCACCATATGATTAATGGCCAGGGCTACCTCATACCTTGCAACCTGAGAATACTCCATGGCTGCTCCTTAACCAAGGCCAGATGGTCCCCAGATCCGCCCTCCTCACCCACACGCTCTCAGGGTGTTTCACAGCAGCGCAGTTACATCATGCCCAGGACAGCGTATCGCTCCCAAACTTTGGGTAGAGGGAAGACTCAAAAGGGGCCCCAGACCACACCAGGATGGGTGGGAGCACCCAGCAGAGAGGTGCTTCCACAACTTCCCTATGAAGTTCTCCCGGGGGGAATTAACAGATGACTGTTAAATAGGCTACAACTGCAGGGAAAAAACCCAACAAAACAACCAAAACCGAAGGCCACCCAGGCAAGATGGAATTTTAAAGTTTGACCTCAAAGTTTATACTCCAGATTTTAGCAGATATCTCACAGAGCTTTTATGGCTTATTTGGATAATGATATTCAGCAAGACATTCACAACTCCTTTAAATAGTTCAGCAAGGCTTTACTTTTCACAATGCACTTCTAGCAGAAAGTACATGCAATTTTACTTGCTTTCCTCTTACTGAAGTGCAGCTACAATCTGAGCACAGTTGCTTTGAAAATTATTATCCAGTAAGTGTCAGAGCAGACCAAGAAGAATAAAAAGTCATCTACATCACAGAGACATTTTGGAGACTGAATTTGCCAATACTTAGCCAGAATTTTGTTCATATTCTTAGCACAGAGTTTATAGCACCTTTAAAAACATTTCAGGTTAGTGCTTCCAATGTACACCTTAACAAAAATAACACTTTCAAGAGAAGATCACTGGTGAGCCCCACGGTTGGCATACAAAGTCTGCTCAAGCACTGCAGAGATGCTGAAGCACGATGATTTAACAAGAGATTTTCACTCCCCGTTGCCCTTGTACCTGGACCTTGACAAGCCAGCAAGATCCTGGCCAGTCCCCTTCTGCTAATGGCATGAGGGAGCAGCAGAGGATCTGCACAATCAATCACTTCTGCTCTGATCATTCAGAAATGAACTGGAGAAACTCATTAACCACGCAGCAGCAACTTCTCAAATTGTTTAAAAGCAAACTCCACTCATAAATAAAACTCCTGACAGAAGATCAGGGTATAGAGGGCAAAGATGAGAACTTTGAATCACTTATTCTCACTAGTCACTGCACATTAGCTAAAGATAACCCAAGAAAAAGTTTTTCTTGAGACCGAGCTAGCACTGGAAGACCCCTTCTCTGCATCAGGCTCAGGGCATGAACACAGATTGCTTTAGCAGCCAAGGAAATGGGTAATATTTAAAAAATTCTATTTGTATTCTTCATAAAGTAAGAAAAAAAATGATTCTTGTGATGTTTCTGCTGACATGTACATCTAAGTGCTGCAGCAAAGCAGAGGAGTGAAGCTCCTCTGAGAGGGGTGAACTAGCTCAGCTCCGTTTTTCACAGCGTCCTCCTGAAGTATGCAGTGTAACAAATGGAGGGGTAAAAACACCATCTCGAAACTGCATGCACCCATGCCAAAGCATGCAGCGGGGCCACTGCAGACACCTTTTGGACTTGAAATGTTTTGGCCTGGTAGCCATATGCCTTACGCTGGGAGCTGCTGAATGACCAGGGAAAGACACCCACTGGGTTAGTACTGCCAGCACCAGTGCCCAACACGGCCCAAACGGGAACTCTTACCAAGACAAGCTCTGAGTTAGCATAACTGCGTGCTGAGCTTGCATTAACTAATGCATAATACTGACGTTTGGTTAGATGATGTTACTTATCCATTTATTTGACAACTTAAGTTCAAACTTTTTTTTTTATTAAGCACATTCCACAGTACAAAGCTTTAGATCATGAACGATATCTGTACAATTTAACAGTTTCAAGAAGCTGTTCATACACCAACTTTCCAAACAGATAATTGGCAAACATAATTACAAGTTAGAATTAGACTATCCCAGTGCTTTGAAACATTAATATAGCAGTAATGTACAGTTGCTCAATTATGGTTAGCAAAACAAAGTCCAGAGTGCAGCCAGGATCACTACCATTAATCCCAGGAGTCAGTTCCTTGGGTGCCAATCACAAAAGTCCACTGCTATGTTACACAAAGCACAAAGAAGTTTAGACTGCATGTTCAAATACCATTATCTCCCAAGGAAAAACATGAATTTAAATCTTACACATGCATTTAAAAAAAGGACTCCATTCTTCGGAAACAAATACCTTTTTCTTCAGGGCTGCAACAGATTTTCCTTTTTAAACAGTTTAATATTAAAGCTATTAGATGGGAAGGGTAATGTAAGACACTTTCACGAACTACTGTCAAGCTTACCAAAAAGTGATCTTATGGACGCTTAGGAGCATGTTTTTAATCTTCTGTACTTCTTCACATTCGGTCATCCTGATGCAATAAATATTGTTGTAGTAACACGTAAATGGGAGCTTAACTTAAGCACTGATCCCAACACCTCTCTCAATGTGAAGGGTGAAGAGGAGAAAACCTTAAGTCACGCTTCTGTAACGGTTTGGTAACACCTTGACATATGCTTTCTCTGAAACGATGCGTCTAACCACAGCTGTTCTGCTGGTAACGCGGGAACAATCCCTCAGCAATTGGATGTCCCCTAACCTTTCTGACTGTAAAAGGGAAAAATGCAAACCCAAGAAAGTGCTGCCAGAGGACAAAAATACATGGCATACAAACAATCAAAGGAATGACAATACATTTCTGTGCCAGCACGCATCTTCCCCAGGAAAACAGGTGGATTTCACGCTGAGCTCCACTGAAGCATTAAAGAAAAGCCACCAACAGGCGTAGTCACACACGTCTAATGCAGATAAAATATTCACTGTTTGCATTTATCTATGTCTTATTCTGACATAAGAAAAATGCGGTAGCATTTATATGACCACATAAATTAGAGGGGAGACTATGACAACATAAGAAGAAACTACTGAGACTTCCTAATAAAAACATACTAACAAAGAAGAACCATGACCAGGACACCACAGTATGGTCACAGCTGATAGCTATGGAAAAGAAAACTAGCATGGTAATTAGCATGGTAATCAGCATGGTAACCAGAGCATTGACTTGCAGGGACCTCCACTCCACCATAAGGAAGTGTTACAAATCAAACATAAATTAATTTAACCTTGGCCCATGGCATCTTCTCCATTGAGCAGCCAAACTAATGCTAAAGAACATCAGTAGGCATTTGTGAGAACCTACTGGTGTTAAAAGAAAGACATCTGTAAATACTGCGGCACAAAAATATAAGATACAGAACATAAATTAAACATTTTTTAATTTTTAAAAAGTTTAGAAATTACATTTTAAAATATGTAGTTCCCATTAAAAAAATCCTAATGAATACTGAAAACCTCCTTTTGCAGAGAAAATGTCTAGGTAATTCATATTAACCCCTACAGTGCCAGTAGTTAGAACATCCTGCTGCCAAGTGCTACCACATTTTGTGTTAGTGTGTAGTGTCAGGAAATCCTGACTCCTAGCACCTGGAGGTTACACTGTTATGTACATTATATCTACATGCTTATACAGTATTTGAAATGAGGCAAGCACACATGGAAAGGTTTTAGTATACCAAACATTAGGAAGCATAGGACGGCTGTACTACAGAGCACAGTTAAAAGTAAAAGACAGTGCTATACAACTAGTTTAGATAACCTAGCCTGAATTACAGGTAATCTTTAATTTAAAAGAAATTATTGGTGCAGAAACAAGTAAACTGTAATCCAAAAATATTACTGAGCAATTCAGAAATATTTCTAAGAGTCCGGCGTACACTCCTATCAAATAAAACAGGCTCTGAATCTGTCATGAGAGTAAAGTCTAAAGGACAATGGTGACTTTGAAAGCAAAGCTCTGTACATTCTGGGTATGTGTTTGGCACCCAAATTTCATTGGAGAATGTTTTTTCTTTAAAGTCAGACGAAAGTGCAAAGCAATATAAATTAGGCCAAGTCCTTTCTTGACTTCTGATTTATTTCTGAAAAACAAGCCATCAGAGTTCAGTTTCTACGGACAATTTACATGTGAAGCTTTGGATTTCTCACTGCAGGGAAGGATAGGCTTCTGAAATTCATCTACTCGAAGTCAGTGAATTTGCAGCAAATTCAAAGACGACCACTGAGAGCAGGAAAGGTTAAGAAATTTAGATATAGAATTGTGCTGCTTTGCGTTTAACACAGCATCTAGAACCAATTCTGACTTTAGCTGTCAATCAACATCTTCAGGCATGTAGTAGCCAAAAATCCAGTAGTTCAAGACTGTGAAACCCTGAAAAAGACAAAAGACAAGCTGAACCGACAGAAGATAACAAATCAGAAAGCAACATTTGGAGACATCTGGAGGCGGTTTGGCCCACACCATCTTTTGCACTCCAGGCTGAAACCAGAAGGGCAAAATACCTGTGAGGAGTGCAACACTTATGTGACACATTAAGCGATTGCTTGCCATTAAATAATTCCCTCTGTGCTAGAAGTCCTTCCTTCAAGGAGAGATGCACCTCCACAGGACCCTGTCTTTGTTGTAGAACATGCTCTGAAATCAGCTGAAGTAAGAGCAAGATTCTCAGTGGCACTAGTCCTTGGGGGTCACCTACAGCTTGGCAGTTTTCTTACGTGTAGTAAGAACCAAAAACCCTCTTGGGGACTAACAGGTGAACCGCCAGCTAGTCTCACTAAATGCTGAATGCTCTTTACTGAAACAGTGACCTACATACAACTGTGAGAAAATTTTCCTTTCTTCTCCACACTGCAGAGGAGAAAGCTTTGCACAGGACACAAAGTTCAGTTGCTTTAATACCTGGGTTTTTAAGAAAACAGACAAAACACTCAAGTACTTTTATATTTCGGTTACCTTTTCCAGCCACATGACTCCATTATTAGCTTGGAGCCAGTGCAAATTCTTAGTGTAATTAAATCTGAACTTTGATTTTACCTGCCACTTCCCAAAATTGTATTTATGGACTATGGAGAACTATCCTCTTCTGATATGAAATTCCCATGAAAGGTTAAAACATCTTTAGGCACTTCCCCTTGACTTCCCTTCCCCCAGCCCAAGGCCTAGTGCTTAATATAATAATATTAGACTATCATATGGTAACAATTTTTATCATGTTACAATAAACAACAGGAATTCAACAGAAAGCAATAAAACTCTCGCAGCCAACTGCCAGGACTGTCAAAATTGATCCGCTTTGAAGAGACATAACATTGGAAGCCTTATAAAAAAAGTGTACAGGGCTGCTTCAAAATTCAGAAGACTATAACGTTTGAAAGCATATAAAACTATTTCATTAAATGTCATAATGAAATATTAGCTGTTTGACCATAATTTTATGTAGATTTATGGTTTTTGGATTCTGAAGTCAGACAAGCCTGTCAAAAAGTGACATCACAGCATCTCTCTTATATAGAAAATAATTATTAAGGGACTGTCATTACCAACACCAACAACTCCCAGGATATGGAGGTCTGCGTGGTTTCACTTGTGCATCATGGGACAAGTCAGACATAAGCTGTGCAAAACTGTCAAGTGTGCAGAATTTGAAAGGAAGAACACACTGCCAAAGGCATTTCATATTTCACTGACAAATCTCAATGACAGTGGGTCTTGTGGGCCACATGTGGCAAGAGAGGAAAGACACCAGCATATTGCTGGTCAAGTGAATTGATACAAATTTCATTCAACTCCTAATTTCTTTTGTGCTTAAGACACACTATGTATAGCTTTTCCATAAATCAAAACTAAACTTGCCAACTATATTTCTGTAATTTTTTAAAAAAAAAACAAAACAACAAGAATGATTTGTCAATCTCAAATTATCTCATAACAGAAGAAAGTACTGGTGTATGAACTGGAAGATAGATGGAGATTGTTCCTAAAACTATTGTTGTCTTCTCACGCAGCCTATCCTGTATGCCCGAAAAGTCAAGGCAAAAAAACAAAGAATTATTCAGAAAGGAGAAAAAAAGTTTTCTATAGATGAGAAAAATGATTCAACTTTAACAAGCCTTGGAGTTTCCACAGCAGAAGTTCACCCTAGGTATGGACCCAGGTGGCACAGAAGCCAGTGGCAGTATCTCTGTCTTAAAAGGAGCAGGATAAAGCCCCTAAGGATGTTACCACCAGTGACAGCACCATGCTTTCCACAGCAAGGATATACATATGTCATCCTGGATCAAACAATACCATTTTGAAGTGGAAGTCACAGGTGCTGGAGGACCTGGCTCTTTGGGTAGTTTCAGGATTTACCACTTCCCCACCCTATACAAATGTTAAGTTTAGCAGTTTAGCCTTTTCAGGTTTCTGTTGTCCTACTGCGAGCAGGATAAGGAAGTCCATGAGTTTTACTAAACTACCCTTGCAGCAGCGTTCTTAAAATATGGCTTTAAGGGAAAGTTCTGTTAACTGCTGATTCTGCACACTAGCTCATCATCATAGCATAAGACTTCTTCCTTAATCATGGGCCTAATTATATTAAGTAATTACAGGTTCAGAAAGACAGGTAGCTCAGTCTACTGGCAATGGCCAGCTTTTTGCTTTGACCCTCTGTGAAACATAACGAGCCAACAGACCCAAGTGTCATGTCCAGAGAGGACATTATCTTGGCTTTTTTTAAAATGAGTAGGAGTTCAGTTAGTAGGAAAGGCAGCCAACACTTTCCTGAGGAATGCTTACAGGTGAAAGAAAACTAATTTTTAAGAACCAGCATCTCAAAGCAGCGAAGTGTGCCTTCACAAGGGAAGGTATTTCCTAGCCAGAAGCAGAGATCCTACAGGAGGAGTGGGAAAGCCTGAGGAACTCATTTGCACAGCAGGGATAAACATATAGATAGATAATGAAAATCCATGCTTACATGAAGACAGGGAAAGCTTTTCCCATAATGTTTAAGCAAACTACTAATTATCTACTTCAAGTAAAATAAACCCTTCCTGTTGGGGCAATGTTACTCCCAACTCCTCTTGCTGCGGTGTCTCCACTTCCTTGGAAGCATCAGGTCTCAGCACTGGCAGAGATGGGGCACTGGAGAAAGGGATGACTGCTCTGCTTGGTAACACAATTTCTGTGTTTCCAAGTCCCAGCATTCACAGCTATTTATAGTTTGAAGTGCAATCGTTGGCAGCAACATAGATGACATAAGGAAAAGAATCCACTGTTCTAACAGATCTACAGTGGAGCTTTTACCCACCATGCATCGAGAGAGAACTAAATGAAGCTGACTTGCAGAAAAATGGAAACAAATTAGGCAAAGTTCACGTGCACCGTTTCTGACAGCTCTGAGTTGTCATGCTGCCTAAACACGACGTAATTTTTAGTTCTGAAAGCCTTCCATGCTATTTGTGGTTATCTCAGAACTGCTCATTTCTGATGAGCATTTGTCCAAAGATCATATGTATATTCAGTTTACTAGAGATGCACTAAAATGCTCATTACAAAGATTCACATAGTGAGCAGATACATCAAGAACTCTAACAGGCTCTGATTTCACAGGATATTTGGAATACTTGTGCAATACACCAAGTCTCCTCCATTTCCAAGAATGCTGTAAATACATAATAACTTTCCATAAAATACCTGAAGTACCCAATTATAAACAGGTGGGATTATAGAAGGGGATAAGATAACATGATACGACAAGTTTTATAAAGTGAAGCATGACCATACAAACACTAAATAGTGAAAGAAGTGGCATAAATAAACCTATTTATTTTCTTAAGGAAAACATCAGCTTGTTGTTTTGACTAAGCCAACCTGCAGGCAGAGTGATAATTTCAGATATTTATAACACATCCAATAAAAAGAGGGAGACTTACCTTCTGAGGGTAGTAAAGTGCAGACTGTTATCTGGAGATGTAAGTGTATGTTCTAGATGGAGAGCGGGTCTCGTTTTGGGCACTGGGTGGCACATTTAAGAAATCCCAAATCAGAATTGTATCGTCATGGGAACTACTAATGATCTGAAATTCATCAAACTGGAGTCTAAAGACACGTCCCGAATGTTCCTGCAAGCAATACAAAATCAGCTTAGCAAGGCAAGAAGAGGATAACATTTCACTACGTTTGTACACACACGTGTATCTGGACACAGAATGGTGTATTCAAACTCCGGTGTGCTGGTTAAGAAACTCTTAGTTATAATCACACTTAAGTTTAAGAAAAGCTGATTTCATATGTAAGTTTTTCAAAACACATGGCTTCCAAACCCAGTGCTTGCAAAACCCTGAGCCTGCCCTGGCAGGGCCAGCCGTAGAGGCTGAGATTATTAAAGACGAAAGCAGCCTATCAATCAAGCAGCAGCAATTTAGAAGATTGGCTGGCACTCACAATCTGCCAGGGCTCCTTCTCTTACATAACATTTGCATTCAACACTGCTGCTAACTCCATTTTTGTATAGCCCTAATACACCACATCACAGTTTCATCTAGAACATGCTGCTGAAAGGATCATTATGGCTTGCTTACTAGTGAAGACAAGACTGTGTTCAAACCCTGCCCTAAGAAAGGGAGGTGCAGGAGTACATGCTCCGTCAGCTCTTTCAAGAAGTCTCAAAATGGCAATAAGAGGCCCAGAAAAGGTTCTCCTCTTCATCCTACTTATACTTTTTTAATAAATTTAAAAGGAGTACACTACTTTTATTAGAGAACTAACCGAAGCTGTCAGACTGATCTCCAAACTATAACCTGAGCTATAGTATACCCACAGAAGGGAAAGATTCAACTTTTTCAGTAAAACTAAACATACTGCATTCATATGGAATAAAAGAATAGTTAAATCTCATCTCTATACAAAGACTAGTGAAAAGAAAGAAAAACTAGAAGCATTTCTGGCCATGTAAGCACATGCTGAATAAGCCAGTTATCACATACAGACAACTTTGGGTTGCTACTAGCTTGTCAAACTGACTCCTGAAGTAGAATTTCATGCACATTTCAGTGGAAAGAACAACAATGTACTCATTTCCCCAATTTATTTTTAATTAAGTTTACTGTCACAAACCAAAACCCTCATTACAAAGAAAAATATAACTTGAGCAACAGCCTTAAATCTGACAGTCCTCTGAAATGATTAGAGTTGCTGTGGTAATCCTTTCAACCCAATCTCCCTTCCCTCTTCACATCTCTTCCTTCCAAACTTAAGAGTCAGGAGAAAGGTTTGGGAAAGGCTCACGAGATTCCTCCCCTCTTTTTAATAAGAGGAAATTTAAAACCAGCACTACAATGATATTCGGGAAACACACCAACAACTAGAATTATGTGATACAGTGTCATGCTGATTTTTCTTTTTTTAAAGGGTATCCGAGAATCTCAAACTAGAAAAACTCGATCTTTCTTTCAAGCTCAGAATCAAATCATTCAGGATATAATGATATACAAATTTTTCTTTATTCTTAGAATAAGCAGCAGCATAGGCTTTATAGAACGTCCTGAGTTTTTCACCTATCCCACTATAGTGTAATAAAATGCCTCTCACTTACAAATAAAAGATTTCAGGTAACCCACAGATGAATTAATGTTACATACCACTAACGTACGCAAGCATAATGTACTTGCTGGAGCACGAGGGTCAAGAGCAGCTTGCAAGTCCCAAACTTTAATTTTGCTACAAAGTAAAAATAACAAGGTCATTATGAAAACATTGTTTCAAGTATAAGCATAGAAGAAGCATCTAAAGCAATGGAAAGTATGCCAGATTTTCCCTTCAGCTAGTTTATCAGGATCAAGCAAGATGTTAGAATCTATCTTCACTAAAATATTAATGCTAAATCTTGTAAAACAGAAATAGCTTTGTATTTCTTTTTAGCACTAAATACAGTTGATGTCTGTGATGGACCAAGCAGGTTGGTTATATGAAAGACAAATGACTATGTATGCACAAGCCATTTTGGAACTGCGGAAGATCTCGAAAGCTCACAGCACTACTGATGAGGTGCAAAGTTCCAGTGGGAATTAAGCTGGGACTCCAACCCCAGTGAGACACTACACCCAAATAAAAGGCTAGAGACAAACACAGTTCAAGACCTGTTTTCAGTAACTCTACTGTTCACTTGAAGTATAAATCAGGCAGAGAAAGAAATGGGAGAAATTGAACATGATGTAAGCTGTACTGAATCCACTACACGCTGAAAATACCGAGCAAGTCAGAAGCACTAACAGTGGGGCTCCTGCCCTCAACCCAACAGAAATGGTCACTAAAGACTTTGGAGAGCCCCACAAGATACATTTACACTTACAATAAACATTTTCAGTGCTGCTGTCTTATAAAAATAGAAAGCCTAAACTACTTTAAGCACACAGGACCGGGCAAGGAGCAATTCCTGAGGGAAGAAACAAAGGAATGTCACTTCAGCCAAACAAAAGTCTACTTTCTACGGAACATCAAACTTGAGTGATAACACAATTTAGGAGTGTGCTGAAGAGCACCAGAAAAGCAGTTTCTTGGCTACCTGAAACTGCAGTCTGCTGCACTGAAATGCTCAAGCAGAAGCCACTCAGTTAAATATTGGTCCATTAGTCAAATCAGAAGAGAACCCTTACACAAGGGAACACAAGGCTCAATGGCTTTCAGAAGATGCTTTGCTAAGAAAGGCAAAATTTTTTTAAATTGCTTTCAAAAACATACCCATCATAGGCTCCACTAACAATCCTCTTATTGTCGAACCTGATGCATCGAACCAGTTCTTCATGGCCTTCCAATACTCTTAAACAGGCACCACATTCAATGTCCCATAGCCTTAATAGAACAGAGGAGAAATTCTTTGAGTACTTCAGGTTCAGCACTGTCCCTTAGCCTCACATGCAGTGATTTAAGCATGCTACTGAATGGTTTTCTGTGGGAGGTATCTCATAATTTGCTTTAAAAAGGCATGAGAACCACGAGATGTTCCTTGCATGCAATTCAGAGATAAGTTTGTGTTGCAGCTGGGGTATATCAATATTAATTTAATCATTCAAAATTACATACAACTAAAGGTTGGATACATGTTAAGTTATATTGGGAAACTTTAATACACTTTTTTCTATTCTGCATAAACCAGTGATTAGAGGTCCAGAAAGTAATTAAGAAAACCAGTGACCAACGTTTTCCTCATCTCTCCAAGACGATGACAAGGTGATAAACTATACCAATAGATAAGAAGTTTTGTTTACCTTTGACATAAACCTCCATGTCCTACTTTTTCACAGGGATGTGGTATGTTTACTCTCACACTGAGTTCAGTTTCATTCATACATCATCTGCTCCAACAGCAAGATATACCAAGGATGTTTTGCACATGCAGCAGTGCAGGACAGCAAAGGTCAGGGGAAACCCTATTTTCACACGTGCAAATGTACACTGTTACATACCGATAGCAGCTCATGGGCACCCACCTAATGGTATTGTCTGAAGATCCACTGACAACTAGTCGATCCCTGTACTGGAGGCATGCAATGCCACGCTTGTGCCCATTTAGAGTACGAACAAACTCGCATGTACTTGTACTCCAGACCTGTGAAACATGGGATAAATGCTCCTCTGAGAATTATGCCCAAACGAGGTTTCTGAATTTCAATAGAAGCCATTACGAGGTCATAAACGGAAGAGGTCCAAGGCTGATCTTTGCTGGACAGTGAGAATGAAAACTCTCATAGTATTTTTATGGGCAAAGAGCAGGTACCTGGCATTAATGAAAGACTGGTGCTATGGGGAACTAGCAGTGACAAGAGCCACAGGCATTGCTACTGCACATTGAGTCAAATGAGAAAAGTTTGGGGGGTGGTTGTATGTAAAATACTTTCAAGTGATAGAGACTGCCCCAAATGATTTTAAAAACTCTATTACACCTGAATCTTGATAAGTTAGTAATTATTTTTAAAAGTGGAAGTTATCCCATATGCAAAAAAACCCACATTTTTTTTACAAAAAAAACCTACTAGCAATCTACTAGTAAGAGAAGGCCAAAACCATGGCCTATGAAAGTTTCATGGCTGCTTTCTTCTTAACATTGAATGACTCAATCAACTTTGCCCATTTTTAATGAACTGTAATTGAAGTTGTAACGTAGAGTATCCAGTGGCTCATTTTCCAACACAGAGTGCAGCAGGATCTTTGGCAGATATTTGGACATTAAACTGCCAAGAGCTTTTTGGCACAGTCTAAGGTAGCTCTGGTTCTAGAGAGGGAAGGGTGGAAACGCCTTTGTTATATTAATACACTCTGGGTAATTTAAATCTTCTGGTATGTAATAGTCTTCAAATACAGCCTCTTAATTCTTCAAACATGGCAAAGTCTGGTTGAGCTGCTGGGAAGGCGTGGTGAGGAAAGGCAACTGCTGATAAATTTCACGTCTGGAACAGGACTGCCAATTGAAATAAAAAATACTGCTTGGAAAAAGGCACAAAATGTGCCACATTTAACAAACAAACCAATCTTGAGACTAGAGTTCAAACAGCAAATGCACTTTACTTTTTTGCAATTGTATGACAGAAACCGCAAAAATGTTACAAGCCTAGTTATGCACGTAAAGACATTAACAGCTAGCAAGAGGAAGCAGGCTTGCCGAACGGTCAAGAAAAAGGCACAGAACTGCTTATGAGCACCTTGGCTATTCAGAGTTGAGTAACACTCAGAAGCTTTTCTGGCTTGGTAGGCATGCAGACCTAGATCAGAGCTCTGCCAACTTACTTTAATGGTCCTGTCACCTGACGCTGACACAATATACTTGTCATCAAAGTCTACCACGTTAACGGCAGCACGATGGCCAACTAAGACACGGCGTAGGGTGATGTCAGTAGGTGATGCCATATCCCAAACAGCAATTGATCTGTCCTTTGAGCATGTCACCATTAAGCCGTTACTGAACCTCAAATGAAGTACTGCCTCGTTGTGATGAATCAACGTGTTCAGAACTTCACCTGTATTTACATCCCAAACTCTGCAAAAGAAAAGAATTTTATTCCAAATGAAGGATGATGGCCATGCACGGTATAAAGGGTAAACATACACAAATCTGCTGCTGCCTCTAATGGAGAGCTCTCTGGTTGCTTAACACCTCTTAGGGCTTGGGGAAGGCAGGAAGACAGCAACTGGGGAAGTATCCTAGTTCACATCTCAGACTCACAAGCAACAATTAACAGCAGCGAACAATTAGGCCAGGAAATGCCTAAGCTGGGACCACTGCTAAGAGAAAGGGCTGCTTAACGATGACCACAATTCTATAATTCTTCCAGAATGACTGAAAGCTGTATGATTTATAAATTAACAGAACAGACCAAAACAAATACTATCCAATATGATTTTTTTTCAGTTTTACACCATTCATTTAGATTTAGCACATGCCAGTGGCAACTGGGATGTAGCACCCTCCAGGGCTACCTACTAGCTTACATGAAGTGAAAGATCACTGCTTATTTTATACTACCTGAAGGGTGTTATGATCAGTTCTTAATTTTTTAAGTTTTATAGAGATTGACATTGGTATGCCAATGCAAGACACCAGAAGGAGATAAGGCCCTTCCACTGAACTGTATCTGAGCATCTTTGTTGGACATCTACTGACCATTGAATTCATACAAGAATTTAAACTCAGTAGCATTAAAATTGCTGTCAGATAAGTGCTCCATACATACCAAGTACCCTTTCATTAACAGTCATAATTAAGAGATGTCAGAAGGCAGTACAAGAAACCCTAAACGACAAAATTATTGTCTAGTTAGCCATCAGCCGTACTACAACTTCAGGATATGCCTTGAATCACACAGGTCACATTCCTTCAAAATTCTTAACACTAAAAAAATGAGACTAAGATTTGGAAAAAACACGTACTGAATGTGTTGCTTTGCCAAGTGTGAATATTGTGAATATGATAGTATATCACGTTCATATTAGGGATGTTTTCTGATATTTGCAGATTATTGTAAATATGCCCAGTGCAAAAACTTAACACTCACCTCACTGTAGAATCTGAAGATCCAGTCACAATGACTCTTTCATCATACTGCAGACAAAGAACTGAGCCAGTATGTCCCGTTAACACTTTCAAACACTCCAAGCTTGTTTTGTCCCAAATCTGTTAAAAATAAGTATAAATGGCTTATCAAGAACACATATCCAAGACTTGAACATTACCACAACAGAGAAGGAAAGAAGAAAACTGGAGATAGCAGGCAGTTAGCCTGTCCAAACAGTAGGCCTGTCCTCCCTTTTAGTTTAAGGAAGACTCCTTGATGCAAGTTTTTGACGGAACAGTGAAATAACCAATGATCACAAAAAGATAAAAGCCTGTTTTGCAAAAGGAAGCGCCATGGATGATTAGCGTGAAAGCAAACTACTAGCAATGACAAGAGACACAACTAAGAACAGTGGCAAACAAAGTCTTCATTCATGGTATGTGAATGAAGACTTCACAAACATTTATTTGTAGTCAGCAGTATCAATCTCCTGGCTGGCAGTCCCCAAAGTTTCTAGAGCAAAGTGCAGGTGAGAACTTCGCAGCACTACAGAAAACATCCCATCCTCATAAACCCTGCACAGATAAATACTGTCCCATGAAGAGACAAGAGAAATCATCAAGGAAACACAAGCAGCTACCTTTCCAAGGCAGAATTACCCATTTACCTCCATGGAAAAGACTGAAAAAAAATGTTTACCTTAATGGAGTTATCTCGTAGGCCACTGATAATCTTTTCATCATCATACTGTAAACAGTAGACACCTTTGCTGTTTTCAGAGCGGCACTGAATCCTTTGCAAATTATGTCGCCCACATCGCCAGTTAGATTCTATAGTCTAACAAGAGGGGAAACAATCAGGAGTTAGGCACAAGGCTGCACACTTGAGCATGACTACTTCAACACATACACAGCAATCTTTCCACTTTTACATACGTCATCCTTAAATTTGAAATAGATAAAACTTAAATGTATCTTTTCTCCCCCCTTAATAAAAATACAATGGATTAGAATTAGGACTTTTATAATTTGTCATGAAAAAAAGCTGTGTTTAGTGCTGAAAGTTATGGTCAACTAACCTTAATGAGAATTTCTAAAGGAGCCATTAGAGAGAGACATTTCATAACAATAGTTCCCCTCCATATTTACGCAACCATCTGACATAAGCAGCAAAGATTAAACTAGGAGCTCATATGGTGCCATGTTCAGCCTCACCTGAGTAACTAACATTACAGAACTGTTGAGTCCAGCACCGAGGTTATGAGAGTTCTTGGACCTTTCCTTCCTCTACCCAGTCATTTCACCTATTAACTATTGTTACGCATCTTAAAGGGATTTTGAGACATGAAAGCCTCCTCTAAGCCTGATAAAAATAAAACTGAACAGGGACTGTAAGATTTCAAATAATCCAAACTTACTTTTTTTCCCCTCTTAAAATCTGCGGAAGTGCAATTCTCAACATTTTCATTGAGAAATTTTTTAAGGAAAGAGACCTGACACACCTTAAAAAGCCGCAAACTATTTCATAGCAGAACCAAGATGATTTTCATGTTTTAATCAGCTTTATTACTTGTAAGACAACCAACACTGGTTTCAAAGAAATAGAGGATTTTGGACAGGAAGCTTGTAACAACAATCATAAAAGAATCCGTGCACGGAACTCCAGGCTAACACCTGCAGCAGTACCTAGACAGGCTGCAATGCTTTCTGTCTTCCAGTATAGGCACCAGAACAGGCCATTTATTTAGCTATTTCCCTGGGATCCCCACCCCCGGCCAAATACTGCATGTAAACCTGAGGAGAAGCTGATTGACTGTCAGTGTGTTTGGAAAAGTGTATTTATAACCAAATCCTAACTTTCAAAGCAATAGCAAGCACCTCTGCAGCTCCTCCACAACTGAAATGCTTATTAAAGGCAGAAGTGCAGTGCTACTATGATGTCCCAATTCTAGGAAAACACATCTGCTCCAAGGGAAAACTAACCTACCACTTTGTTTTCCACGCATTTGCACCTTCAATTGCCTCCCATTATGCAATCTGAAGAGAATTAGACACAGTTATGATACAAACCTGATGTGCCACAGGAATTTGTCTAAATCATAAGTACTAAGAGATGCTTCTAGAGGAGCATGCTGACAAGTTATTCATCCCCTCTCATTCTCTTCCAATTTGGTGGGGAAGTTAATGAAATTAAGATAGCAAGTCATCTGTCAGTTTGGGATCAGCTTTTCTGGCCAGCTAGTGCAGTGCTGATTGTCAGACTGGGAACTGGACTTAAAACGTTCAAATCTGACACTGCGCTGGTTCAGCCTTGGACTCCTGCCTTGAAGGTAGCAGACTGCTCATTATGCTACTTGCTCAGCATGGGACGGAGGTTTTGTGGAGGAAGGACAGGCAATTCTCAAGCTTTATCTGAAGATTTATCATCTGTGCTAGGAGGGCAGAACTGCAACTCATTAACTCCTTTGCTGCTACAGAGGTGACCCTTGGAAACCTGAGAGGATTTCAGACGTTAATAGCATGAACCAATATAATTACAGATCTGAAGGCAAGATATTTAAAAATGTGTTACTAACACTGAAGACACAGGAGAGAAAGCATCACAGATTAGAGCTACCCAATTTAAATAGTTTTAGAAACCATATACGTTCAGACATTCAACTCTAAGTCTAAGGGAGAGTTTCTGTAAAGCAATGTTCTTGGAAAGGTCTGAAGTAAGCAGCTGCCCATAACACATGCCAGATTACTCTAGCTGCCGAGTGCTCAAACACCATTTGAGCACTTTCACACTTCAGCTTCCTGCGACAGTGATTACCAATAGCTACAGAATAGATTAAGACCACCACAAATGAGAAATTTTGCTTGTAACAGTTTCGTAAACAAAACAGCAGTCAGTAAAAGTATGCTAACCAGACATTCAGGACACTAGCTGGCTTAATTCTTTGTAGTTCACTATAGCAAGCTACTTAAGCTCCCCATAAGAAAATGTTGGCTTCAAAAAAAAGAAACTAAATTATTATTTATATCTATGTGAAAGCACAATAAAGCAGTAATTCATATGCAGGTGCACATTTTAATTCTGTGAATAGATGTCATTTCATTTAGACATTATACGGTGTGGCTACTGTGGGAAAACACTTCATGTTTTTCGAGAACTTGTAAAATCCCCTTACACTGCGTAAATTTTCAATATGCTGGGAAAGTAGCCACAATACACAGAGAATATACAGCAGCATTTCAATTGGCAATAGAGTGAAAACAGATGTGTACGCATAAAGAAATAACATTATTTTAGATGACTAAATACAGCTGAGTGGGTGGGCAACCTGGAGGACCCTCTGAAAAAGAACATATTTAATATAATACTGGCAACCACATTAAAGCTTCTTACTATAGGAAATTTCTGGTTGTTACTGAATTGTTACTGTGCAGTTAGTAAAAGTCTTCATCTGCAACCTCCTTCCAGGAGATATCTTAATAAACTGTGTATACACTGAGTAGATAGGCATGTGTATACAAGGGGCAAGGGAGAAATTGTTGTGTTTTATGGACTGTTGCAAGCAGCAGGGAGTCAATGCTGAAAAGACCCATGGTTTATTTGCATATTTATGGTACCAAACCTAATATAATACTAACATATGCAACACTCACTACTGTATTTCCTACAGATCCCCCTCAAAGTCTCCAAGATAACTGCCTGTAAACTTGTTTTTCACAATTAAAAGCAAGATGTTGCAGAACACTATCTCCTTAGTTCACACGTATAGAAAAAATAGTTTCTCACACTTTTCTAAAAGCTCACTAAAGCAATAGCAGCAAGTAGCTGACAAATGCTGTAAAACTAACAAAATCTGGACATACAAGGGATAAAGACCAAGCATGAAGCCAAAGCATCTGCCACAGCAGGAGTGCCATTTGGCAGCTCAAGAAATGCATAAATGGATACAAAAAGGCATTTAGAGAGAAAAGTACACATACAAAAAAGCCCAAGATGCAGAGGTATAGCCAAACCTTGACCTTGCCAGAATATGTTCACTGGTACAAAGATGCACAGGAAAAAAGATCCAATTCATCTGGATTAACAATTGGAACACTTACTATACATTGGAAGTGTTAAGGATAATCTACTAGGAACATGGTTTCTTTCCCCATTCAATAATGTACACTGTGTTCAGTTCCTTGGCCAAGAATTGCATTTTTATCCTTGTGAATGTTATTGCAGAGTAAGTGGGTTTATCTTAATCCCATAAACCAAGGAGTTTCTGTTCTCTCCGAATACACAATATGTCTGCAGGACAAATGGGGCAGAAAAAAGAAAAAGGAACCTACACATTTGTTACATACGTATGGATTTCTCCTGAAGCATTAGGCATATACACCAGGGGCAGTTAAAATCCAAACCCTTATTCTTCACATGCTTTCTTTTAGGAGAAGAAAGAAAATCCTTCCTGACTCTGGCAGAGGAAAGGCAAAAGCAAGTGTACTTATGTCATTGGCGTGGAGCAGGCTTAGTATTTCATTCGTTATGAAGTTAAGAGGGTTTGATAAGCAAAGACAAAAATGACAGCTTGGCCATGGCTCCCTCCATCTTTGAGGTCTTTCCTCTCTCAGACTCTGAAGATACTACAACCGGGGGGGGCGGGGGGGGAGCATCAAGGTCTTGAAGAAGGATACTGATTCCCTAGATCCTGGCTTGAGTCTGGAATTCACTGCTGGGTCTCCAAGCTGCTGTTAGACAGTGAGGGCCAAAGAGCTTTCGTAGTCTCTATATCAGCCTGAAGAAGAAAGGCTATGTGATGCTCATTACCTAGAAGGCTTGAACTGGTCCTCAAGAAGAAGCTGCATAGAGCTAGCTGTCCTGTCATTAGCACAACAGCATAAACCACAAGATTTCTGACCACACAGGGATAACTGCCTCACAGCAACAAATGACAAAATGTGCCAGCAGCAAAGCCTCCTTCCAAAGCAGCCCGCAGAGGGATAAAAACCCTGCAAGTAAAGAGCATCACCATCATTCTTGTGAGTGTCATCACTTCTAAAAACCACTGTTAAGGAGCAAAGTGCTGGTGGCAGGCATGTAGCAGCAAAGGCAGCTAAAAACTCAAAGACCACAGGAACTGGATCAGCACTGGGGCGGGTACTGTACATGAACAGCAATGAAATCCCTGTGCCAAAGTAGTATGGCAGAAAAAGTACTTGCACGGTATCCAACATCCCCTTCATAAAACACCTCCTCCTCAGACCAGCTGCATAATGGAAGTGATGAACAAGAAAATTGTGTGGTTAGAAAGCTCTACAGAGCTTACATCTCAACAGAGTAGCTGAAGAGTTTTGGCTGAAGGCATGGTATACCTAATCACGTATTCACTAAGACTTGAGCATATTATCACCTGAGCCGGTAAACATGTCTTTGGAAGAAAGCAGCAGGGTATACAGATGTCCATACCAACATCTTGAACATAAATTCACACTGCTGTTCGAAGAGAGAACACCAAGTGCTGCAAACCATCCACCACCACATCTTGCCATTTATTACCCTACTTTTACCATTCAGCATATTGCCTTTCCCTATTAATTCTCTTACCCTATTCCACGAAAAAACTGAACCAATATGATTCATGCTACACTACAGGACTCAGAAGAGTGACTAGATTTGGATTTTACTCTCAAAATGCTTTGAAAACGTAGAAGGCAGCAGCTAGACAACTGGGAGCTGCATGACACTGTCCCTCAAATGAGAACTGTTTAGTGTTTAAGTTAAAATTTATATGCTACTGATCTGAAAACGTAGGCACTACTGCTCATCAAAAGAATTTGTGCCTTCCACTACCAAGAATT